GCTCAGAACCTCCACCTGGTCTTCAGTGTTGTCTGCCCTGGCTTTAAGAGTGATCAGTTCTTCTGCCTGAGCTGCAAATTGGTTTGAATAAAATTTAATGGATTAAATATAAAATAAAAATGTTATTTCCATTATTTAAAATTCACAACATCACATATTCAAAGCCAATTGTAATTACTGGCCTTTTGACAGACTCGTGATGGATGGATGGATGGATGGATGGATGGATGGATGGATGGATGGATGGATGGATGGATGGATGGATGGATGGATGGATGGATGGATGGATGGATGGTGTAATAAATACCTTGATACTGCTGCTCCAGCTTTCTCGTGTTCACTACTTGTACTAAAAACAAACAAACAAACAAGCAACTGATATCAATTTAAGCAATATAATTCTATTCATCCTAAATATTAGGTTTTAGTAATCTATTCATGTGTTTCTTTTTTAGCTAATAATTACCTTGGTCCTGTTCTTTCAACAACTCTATTTCTTTTGTCTTAGCTGTTTGCAAGAGTAAAACAAAACATGTTTAAATTTTCATTTAAAAATAAACAATTCACTCTGAGAGGTGATTCTTCAAAGCTTTGGTTTTCTTAATTAACATACCTTCATTATCTCTCTGTAAGTACTCCACGCTAACCTTGAGTCCACCCAAAGAGGCGCTCATCTCTCTCAGCACAGCATTAATGTCCTGTGTACATCTTTGTTGGGGGTCAGAGAGACTTCCTGTGTCTTCTGTCCGTGATTCAGTTTGCCTTAAATGTGAAAGGATTTCATTCGCTGAGTCTGACTGAAGCAGAGCTGTGGAAAAAGAGCAGATTAGAAGAAACAATTGTAAAATCATTATTGTCTCCATTCTCAGCATTGTTTTCTTCAAGTCCTCCACAATTTTAGTTTCTGCATTGATCCAAGTCTTAAATACTGTCAAAGGTTGATTAATAATCAATAAAATGTTGTTGTTTTTTATCAAGCCAGTACAAACACTGCAAATGTATGTCCCATGGTTTCAGACTTGATGAGTTGGGCTTGTTCTATCCAAAGGCCGAATCCTTTATCATGGAAACAATTTTATGGGCACACTCACGTGCAGTTGAAGAAAGAGCATCCTAATCTCCATACTCACTATCGTGAGTCAGCATCTTTAACACAGATTTCAAATTAAAACACACATGAAGGTCATAAAAACTTGATTATTTGACTTTTTATATTACAACAAAACACAGTATTCAGTGATAAGGTCTACACATTGCTTTTTGATCAACTACATTCTTATTGTGCTGATAGCTTACTTTCCTAAAATCTGTCTGTTACTGATGTATATAGTTTTGAGACATCACTGTGAGAAATAACTTTCAAAATAAATTTTATTTAAAGGCATTTAGGTTAGTCTTGTTACAAAAGTCTTCTCTTCTTTGATTCTCTAGTCTACATCTCAAGAGATTTAAATTGTGTTCAGCAGTACTCTGCCCAATTTATATCCGCTGATTTATATATATTTAGTTCACAACAAATGCTGTTTCAAGGCATATTTCAAAATAAATACAGGGATCGATTCAAAGTATTATATAACAAATCTAATCCCTGTCCAGTTTCTGAAGGTATATGCCATAGTTTAAATTTATATGCCATAGTTCATATTCAGGTCTATAGTTAATTGTGACTTGTATTGCACAACGTCTTGCCTAGTGAAGCCTTGTGTCAGTCGCATGCCTGTGAAAGTGCAACCCCAAGTGTAACAAATTAGATCCAGCTGCCGCCGAAGGTACCACTAGCAAATGCTGCTGCTTGATCCTGCTGCCTTGTGCTACCTGGTTGAATCAACAGTATTTATTGTCAATATTTCATCATAATGTAAGTTTTCAGAGCTCCTGGCTGAAAAATCTTCTGATAAAAGTTAAATAAATGTTAGAAAAATATGAAGAAGAAGCATCCTTACAGGAGACTTCATGGTTGTAAATGTTAGTGTTTACATTAAGTGCAGCTTGTGCTGCAATAGTCTATGAAATGGTCAAGAGCACGGGTGGAAAATTCCAGTTCCCGAGGGTCTGTATCCTGCAGCTTTTAGATTGATCCTTGGTCAAACAAAACTGAATCAAATAGCTGAGTTTTCTCCTCAGTATACAGTCGGTTCCTCCAGGCCTCTCAATCATATAATTACTTGATTCAGGTGTGTTGAACTAAAGGCACATCTAAAGGTTGCAGGATACCGCCCTCAGGAAGTGGAATGGCCCACCACTGGTCTTAGAGGTTTTTTCCATTTTAATTATTATTTTTTTTTTAATATTTGCCTGCAGGGAATGATTGCACTCACTACTTTGGGAAAGAAACTCTTCTTAAGTCTATTTGTTTCTGATCAAATAAACCTGTATCGTTTTCTTAATGCAAGTAGGACAAATCCTGCATTGCCTGGGTGATGCTGTTGTAGTTGCCTTTTTTAATATGAATGTTTATTCATATGTAATTATATTTCTTTTTGACTTTTAAGTTAATTGAACAGATGCATCATAATTGTTCTTTTTTTTAATATATTTTGGAATTTTATTGATACTTTTTATTCTTTCAGCACTATGGAAAGAGTCACAAACCTTGTCACAAAATTGTCATTCCTCAGGCAATGTCATAAGACCTAGACAGGCAAAAAAAAAGGGTTGTTTTTCTTTATTCTTTAAATGACAGAAAATTTGATGTTATGCAGTTTTTGTATGCAATATTTTCAGTTTTATTATTATTATAATTTACCCCTTTGTTTTCGTCAGAAGATTAATAAAAGCAAAATGTGGCCTGCCTTAACTTAACTTTGCAGAGCAGCAGTTCTTTCAAAGTACGTTTTCCTCACGTGTTGGTTTCTAGGACACTACCCTTTAATTGATATATGATTCTGTAATCTTGTAAGTGTTGGTTTATAAGACCTGAACTAAATGAGTACTTTATACTACTGTTATTGAGGAAGCACAAAGAGAAATTCTCTTTATCACTTATCTGCTCATTGAAAGTTTATTATTATCAGTTAAATACTGCACAGTCATTTTTATAGAAGCTGTTAGGAATCTAGTTTGTGTGGGTTGTTTTGTGTTTGTCTCTCCCTCCACTACCAGGTGGTGCCCTGTCCTCGTTGGCCCTCCTGCACACCTGTGGCTCGTTGGTTCATCACTGGGGAGTATTTGAGCCGTTGAGTGTTTGCCAGTTTTGGGTACTCTAGCCAAGCCGTGATTAGCTAAGTTTAACCTGTGCTTTGTTTCTTTGAGTCTAACCGTGTTTTTGTCTTTGCCTTTTGGCATAAAGCCTTCCCACTGACTGGAATGTTTGGCCTTTCTTTACCAGGAAGGATATTTTGTGTTCACACTGAGCTGGGGAAATGTTCAACACGATCCGTTCAAGTACCGTCAGAAATCTAAGTGGCAGTCCGCTCTTATACTTCTCAGGGTCCAACTCCACCAACCTGTCTGCCCTCCAACGAGTAGCTCTCCCTCTGGAAAACTCACACATTCTGGATTCAAGCTTTGATTGAGATCCCCTCCAAAGTGAGTCCCTTTTTCCTCCATGCTCAAGAATTCTATTCTGTTTCCTACGGCCATTGAACTAACTGCTGTGAACTTCCCTTCCACTTCTAGTTTCGGTTCGACAGCTCTCTCCGAGTTCAAGATTCCGCCTCCTGTTGTCCTCATCAATAAACCTGTTAAACCTTCCATTGCTTCTCTGAGTGGTTTTCTGCATGTGGGTCAGATCCCTTAAAAGCATCATGACAGAAGCTATATTTTAAATAAAAACCATTTTTCATGAGTTGGCAAAAAGTCTATGGTTTCTGACCTTATCCATGTTACATTGTAACAAAATTAACTTCTCAGGACAGATTAACAAGTATACTATAATTTTTAATCCTTCTTTGGATAATACATATATTGCTAAAGGGTCTGGACAGGTTACTCCCAACTAGTACCTGTAAAGTGAATACAGTGTAAAAGCAGTGTTTTAAAAGCTTGTTATGTTTTAAAATCTATCTAAGGAACAATTGCAGGGACATTTAAACAGATTTGAATTGACCCATTTTCTTGTGTTATTGAGGACTCTTTTAGTATAATCATAGATGAAATGGAGCTCCCTGAGATACTTCTAACTGTCTTCATGGCAGCCAGTAAGAAATATCTCAGGGAGATAACTTGGCATAATAATTTTCCAACATTTTAATTCCCTTTTTGTAATGAAACACAGTTATTCTCTTTTAAAGATCTATCTTTTAAACATTAAGCTTAAGCGAGATTTCAATGTGGAAGACTCTTTATCAGCCTCACCAGGACTACCTGATATGCGTCACTCAAGCTTCAACCAATTGGTGATAGACTACACCCATCAGAAGCCAATTGTCATTCAAGGCCTTCTTCATTAAGACAAAGCCCTAGCTTCCCCTTCAGCGCAGAAGCCGAACTTCAAATCATCGCCCATCTCCCCTTTCACAGACTATTCTTAGACGCACTCGTCTTCTAAGAATGCTGGAGGTTCAAAGACTACAAAAGTAAAACCATAATACAGAAAACCAAAAAATACAAACAACTTTATATAATTCAGCAGATTTATACAGGCCAGAGCACTGCTGAGCACAGGTTAGATCGTTTGGTCAGTGGACTACAGAATTAAATAAGAGAACACTTTTGTGCCAATTCAAAACTTGAAGACCTTTAAACACAAAGTTATTTCTAGGTGTTATGCCTCAAAACTGTATAAATCAGCATGATACAGGTTTTTTGGTATGTTGGCAGCACAGTAAGAATGTTATTTATGAACAAGCAATTGCGTAGACATCATCTCTAAATAACTGTTTTGATGTCATATAACAAGTCAAATAAATGAAGCCTTATCACCTTCACGTGTCTGTAAATGGAAAACTTTTAAAGAGGCCGACTCATAGAAAGTGATAATGGAGGTTATGATGTTTTTTTTTTTTCTTTACAATGCATATAAAATAGTAACTTTGAGAGTATTTAAGGGTTGGATCAACACAGTAACAAACATTGTAGGGGACTTGAAGAAAACAATGCTGAAAATGGAGACAATAATGATTTTCCAATTCTTTCTTCTAATCTGCTCTTTTTCCACAGCTCTGCTTCAATCAGAGAATGAAATAATTTCAAATTTAAGGCAAACTGAATCACAGACTGAAGGTACAGGAAGTCTCTCTGACCCCCAACAAAGATGTACACAGGACATCAATGCTGTGCTGAGAGAGATGAGTACCTCTTTGGGTGGACTCAAAGTTGGCATGGAGTACTTACAGAGAGATAATGAAGGTATGTTAACCCAGAAAACCAAAGCTTTAAAGAATCACCTATCAGAGTCAATTGTTTATTTTTAAATCAACATTTAAAAATGTTTTCTTTTACTTCTGCAAACAGCTAAGACAAAAGAAATAGAGTTGTTAAAAGAACAGGACCAAGGTAATTTTTAGACAGAAAACAAACATCTGATTTTTTTTAGATGGCATCACATTTAAACAACTGTCATTTTACCTCTGCAAACAGCCAAGACAAAAGAAATAGAGTTGTTGAAAGAACAGGACCAAGGTAATTATTAGATTAAAAGAAACAGCAGATTTTTTTTAAATGGCATCACATCTAAACATCTGTCATTTTACCTCTGTAAACAGCCAAGACAAAAGAAATAGAGTTGTTGAAAGAACATGACCAAGGTAAATATTAGAGAGAAAACAAACACCTGGATTCATTACTGAAACGTGATATTTAGACAAAATAAAATAATAATGGTTAAATTTATCCAATTTGTTTATTTTTCAGTACAAACAACAAAAGTAAGAAAGCTTGAGCAGCAGTATCAAGGTATTTATCATATCATCATTTTAAGAATAAATAATCTTACACTATGTGATGGTTGTATATAATAGATAATTGACACATTTTGTATGAATCACTTTTAGAGGGCAAACCTGATTGAATTATTAGTTTCCAGGATGTTAATCAGGTCAAGAGATCAGTAATTCCAAGCTGCATTAAATATGGGAATGTATAAACTACTATGGGAAAGGAGAGAAAAACATAATTTTTATGGGTTATTTTGGTTTTATTTAGTCTATCTTACTGTATCGTTAATTTTCATCAATATACAGCTCAGGCTGAAGAACTGATCTCTGTAAAAGCCAGGGCAAACAACACTGAGGACCAAGTGGAGGTTCTGAGCAAGGAAGGAAAAGGTTTGGAAAAAATAATCTTAAAATATTTACATGAATTATATTTCATAATCTTATGTGTAGACTGCAACTAAAAAGACTTTTTCTGCTGGTGCATTTAGTTATATGAACATCTTTATTCCTTAGGATTGTATTTGGTTGATTTTCTTGTAAAGCATAGTTTTATGTGCAACAAAGATAATTGTACCAAAAATGTCCAAATTTATGTTTGTTTCTAAAAATAACTTTTTAATCTTAACTTAATTTCTTATAGAGAAACGAGTGGCTTTCTCTGCTTCCCTGCTGGCCTCAGGTGGAGGAAATATTGGACCATTTAACACACATACACCTCTAGTCTTCAGGAACGTTGTTGCAAATATTGGCAATGCCTACAACCCAGACACAGGTACTCAATCGTTGTTTTGAAATTGTTATTCTCTTAACAATACTGACAAGAACCTGGTTTGTGTTTCTTTATTTAAACTAATTTACAGAAGAAAAGTAAAATGAAAACGTTTTGTTCCCCAGGTTTTTTCATTGCACCTGTGAGAGGAGCCTATCACTTTGAGTTCTACTTACATGGAAATGGACATGCGTCACTTGGTACAGGTGCTGTGTTGGTCAAGAATGGAAATCCTGTTTTCATTGCATGGGAACATCAGCCTTCTTATTCTGTTAACCCATCAAATGGTGTCACATTGCTGTTAGAGATTGGAGATGTTGTATTAATGAATCTATGGCAAAACGCAAGAATTTATGATGATCACAATCATCATACCACCTTTAGTGGTCATTTGCTTTTTACTATGTGAAAAACAGTCCTTGTTCTATTATGTTCTCAAATGTCACAGGAGGTCTCAACAGGAGAACCTAACTTCAATAACCGCATGCAATACTGTGTCTTTTCACTGTAAAAATGCTAATAGATTTTGTCTTAACTTTAAAATGCAATGAAGTTTTGTGGAATGTAGACTTTCATTTTGTCCTTTTGAAACCTTTATTTTTATAAACTATTGATTTCAGAATAAAATGGTTTATTCAATGGTCTAAATATGAATGTTGTATGAATAATTTCTATGAAAATGTTTAAGGAATACTTGTAGAAATTTACAAAGTTGCACACATTGTTTGTACGTAGATTATCGTGTACTAATAAGAATTTTATGAAACCAGGTTGAACTGTTTTTCAGCTTTATTTGTCTCATTAATATAATAAAATACAAAAATAAAGTCGTACAGTTTTAAAGTTCCCTTTTACTCAAGATTTTTGGTTTAAGAAACATTGTAGAATTGAGATTTTTGACTGATACCAAGAGATTTTTTTGTGATCTTTTGATTAAAAATAAGACATCTGATGGACATGCAGTAACTACTGGGTCCGTCGGTCGTTAACTTGTTATGGATGTCTAGACCTTGTGCAAATAAGGTCAATGTTTCAACATCCGACTTGTCATTTTATGGACGTCATAAAGGCATTTAATGCACATCATTTACAGAAAATGCTTTAACATGTCCTCTGCACAAAGATTCATCTCTCTGCATTCAGTGTTAGGAATCCAGTTTTGTGTGGGTTGTGTTTTGTGTCTTTCTCTCCCTCCACCACCAGGTGGTGCCCTATCCTTGTTGGTCCTCTCACACACCTGTGGCTGATTGACTCATTACTGAGGACTATTTGAGCCATGGACTGTCACTACCTTGGCGCCAGAGTGTTTACCAGATTTGGGTACTCTAGCCAAACTGAGATTAGCTGAGTCTAACAGAGTCTTTGTTTTCACTGAGCCTAACCGTGATTTTTTGTCTTTCCCTTTCGGCAGGAAGTCATTCTGCAAGCAACTGAGCAGGGGATTAACCTACACAAGTTCCGTTCAAGTCCTCCTGGATTCCCAAATGACAGTCCGCTCAATAGCTCATCAGGGTCTAACTACAGTAAGTCTATACCTGTCCGCCCTCTAATGAGTCTCAACCTCTGGAAAAACCCACACCGACTGGATTCTGGGAAGAAAGTTTTCTCCACCAATGTGAGTCCTGTTGTCTCTCCAAAGTCATCGATCAAAGTTCCCACGGATCCTGAACTAACCACTGAAACTTCCCTTCCCTCTTCCAGTTCTGGTTCACCAGTTCACTGTGTTTTCTGAATCCTACCCCGCTGGTTTCATCAATAAACCTATTCAAAATTTACCCTGGTTCTATGAGTGGTTTACTGCATGTGGGTCAGATCTCTTAAGAAAATCTTGACGTTCGGTGAGGTAGTTGATGGTCCAGGCAGCAAGATGATATCATAATATAATGAGTGTATACCACTTTTAAAAGTTTGAAAGTTTAACAAGTTTCTCATAAGAGTTACCCTGAAATAATATTAGTTTGCTAAAACCTTAGGGTATGGAGCAGAACAACTGCTTCTAAATGTAAGTAGTTATTGTAGGATGTTATTGTAAGTGTAGTAGGTTTAATTAGTGGTGGGTTTAACATGAATGTCTAGTTAAATGCAGGTTCATTTTTTGGTCTAAATATTTCTAACAGAATTGAAAAGCAGAAGCCCACTGAAGGTGGTATAGTGCAGCTGATTATCAAAAATCCTTGTGTTATCCCTCTGAAGCAAATACACCACGTCTCCAGGCCCTAAGAGCAAAGTGACGCTGTTCGCAGAGTTAGCACCGAGTGTAGTTTGATGTTCATATGTCATGAAAATGTACTCATGTACATTCTTGGCCAGCACAGCCGAACCATGTGAAGAATGTCCATGTCCATTTCCAGGTAGGCACCTCTCACTGGAGCTATAAAAAAAACCTGGAGGGCAAAGTATTTAATTTTAAAAACAGAAAACATGAATATAAAATTGCAATACCTGTATTTGGGTTTTAGGCATTTCCAATATTTGAAACATTTTTGAAAATCAGAAACGTGTATGCATTAAAAGGGCCAATGTCTCCTCCCCCTTAGGCCATCAAAGATGCTGAGAATGCCACTTGTTGCACTACAGAGGAAAAGTATTGTTGTGTAGATCAGCACCTATCACGGTTATGAGTTTGCTCTAATTATACAACTGCTCATTCATTAACAAACCTTCTCTTTCTCTGTTCAGAAACTCCACTTGCTTTTGTGTGATGATTGTCTTGCCTTTAATTTCCATCAGTTCATTTCCTTGTGCTGGAATGATAATAATAAAGGCATTTACAAATTTACTGTAAATCCCACAGTACATTTAATAGGAAAGCAGTTAAAATGAAAAAACTTTAGACTGTCATTAATAAAACCATATTAATATAGAAGAAAAGCTTTTCTTATTTCTTATTATAATAATGTCATTTATACATTAAAATTGTATAATAGAAAGAAACAAAATGTTAATGATTGCCATTTTATAATGGCTGTCAGAAAACATGTTGTATTAAATATCACCAAAGATGTGTTAATGTTGAAAAGTTTTATAAATAAATTAAATAATAAAAAAAGCAAAACATTGTCAAGAGCAAACAAATTAAGTAATTTTTTTACATGACAAACATAATCGTAAAAGCAAATATAATAAGTCAATAACAAAACATGTGAATATCCTTTTCAGAAGCCAGTGTTTCCTGCCTGGGGACTGTTGATTTACAGTAAGTTAATGATGAGGCTCGCAAAGGATTTTTCTATGCAACCTTGATGTTGATAAAGTGAAAGGAATTCACAACCAGTACTGCCAGTTTCCAAGTAATCTTAACAAATGTCTTTGTTTATTGGAATATATAAACTAAACAGATGAAAAAGAATCCACTGTTACAGGCTAAATTTAATTCTCCTGTGATTCCATGTTATGTCTGATGCAGAGACTGAGTCTGATGTGCTACAGCAAGCAGCTCATTAAGTAGCCTTGTTGGATGTGTCCAACAAGGCTACTTAATCAGTCTTAAAGGTGTGACTAAAGGGTAATGCAGAGACAATTGATGGTTCTGACTATAAAATTACATGGCAGAAAACCTTTTGTGTAAAAGACAGAAAGATCTAACTATTTTCATAACACAACTTTGTGATTTTGAAGCGTGCATTGTACAAAGCTGCTAACAGGCTGGTCTGGTGCAAAAACAAAGCACAGGCACCTGGTTTTGAGAGGCCTTTTACCTCACAATGGATGGGAGCAGCTAAAAGGACGCGAACAAACAGTAGTGCATGTAAAATCTTAACACAAATACTACATTTCCAGGATAAAAGGTATTTTTTAGAAATGAGCCTATGTACTCAATGACAGAATTAAAAACTATTTTCAGTTAATAAAAGTTGACTAAAGAAGTAGCTTGTCAAAAGAAATATTCTGAGTAAGCATTAGATTATGATTAATATTACTACTACTGAAAAAAACAAACAAACTACTTCAACCACCAGCAGGGTTTGGCACAGATTACCTATTCAGAAATCCTTCAGAACCTCCTTAAGGCCACCCCACTCACAGCTTATTTGCTGCAAGAAATTCTAATTATAACTCAATTAAGGTGTGTCTAATTGGATAATCATTCCGGTTTTCACTAAACGAATATAGACAATTGTATACATAGTCACAATTAAAATCATATGTGTCAATTTATCCATGTGGTCAAAATTTGTCTGAATTCAACAATTTCCCTTAATCACTCTGGTCACCTGTGTTAAAACAGCCATTAAACTTCAGTTTTTTAAGTCCCGTCTTACTCTCTGGCCTTTAAAGGAATAGTACACCCAAAACATGATTAGCCTTCATTTTCTACTCACCTCCATGCTGAACAACACTCTGGAGTACTTTTTTGATATCTCAAATGCATCTGGAGATCTGGGAGGCTTCTTGCTGTCTGCTGACATTCAAATAATGGAGGTCCATGGCGCCCGAGACAGAAAGGTCCATAAAAGTCCACAAAAACGTGTCAATATTCCTCCATACTGCTCGTCCAATGTAATCCAAGTGTCCTGAGTGGGTAGCATCCAGAATTTACTCGAAACGAAGTCATTTAGAATGTTTTTAGAGCATAAACAGTAGTGTATAGGATTTCCTAATAGCGCCCCCATGCACGCTCACGATTCTACGGAAGCCGGCAGACCAAACCGGAAGAAAGTGCGCATTCAGCGTCTGGTCTGCCGATAATGCAAGCGTTGAAGAAGAAATGTGCTGTTTACCTGTGCAAAGAAAGAAACAACGAAAGAAAAATGTCTGAGGTCTTCAGTGTTGAGGAAGAGCATGAGTTCTTTGCCGAGCTGAATGCGCTGGTTTGGTCTGCCGGCTTCCGTAGAATCGTGAGCATTTTTATCTATGAGACTGACTCATAGATAGTGAGAATGGAGGTTATGATGTTTTTTTTGTTTTTTACAATGCCTATAAAATAGTAACTTTGAGAGTATTTAAAGGTTGGATCAACACAGTAACCAACATTGTAGGGGACTTGGAGAAAACAATGCAGAAAATGGAGACAATAATGATTTTCCAATTGTTTCTTCTAATCTGCTCTTTTTCCACAGCTCTGCTTCAATCAGACTCACAGAATGAAATAATTTCACATTTAAAGCAAACTGAATCACAGACTGAAGGTACAGGAACTCTCTCTGACCCCCAACAAAGATGTACACAGGACATCAATGCTGTGCTGAGAGAGATGAGTGCCTCTTTGGGTGGACTCAAGGTTGGCATGGAGTACTTACAGATGGATAATGAAGGTATGTTAACCCAGAAAACATACCTTCATTTCTTTTACTTCTGCAAACAGCTAAGACAAAAGAAATAGAGTTGTTGAAAGAACAGGACCAAGGTAATTATTAGAGAAAAAACAAACACCTGGATTAATTACTGAAACTTCATATTTAGACAAAATAAAATAATAATGGTTAAATTGATCCCAGTTGTTTATTTTTCAGTACAAGCAGCAAAAGTAAGAAAGCTTGAGCAGCAGTATCAAGGTATTTATCATATAATCATTTTAAGAATAAATCTTACACTATGTGATGGTTGTATATAATAGATAATTGACACATTTTGCATGAATCACTTTTACAGGGCAAACCTGAGTGAATCATTAGTTTCCAGGATGTTAATGAGGTCAAGTGATCAGTAATTCCAAGCTGCATTAAATATTGGAATGTATAAACTACTATGGGAAAGGAGAGAGAAACATATTTTTATGGGTTATTTTTGTTTTATTTAATCTATCTTATCATTATTTTTCATCAGTTTACAGCTCAGGCTGAAGAACTGATCTCTGTAAAAGCCAGGGCAAACAACACTGAGGACCAAGTGGAGGTTCTGAGCAAGGAAGGAAAAGGTTTGGAAAAAATTATCTTAAAATATTTACATGAATTATATTTCATAATCTTATGTGTGGTCTGCAACTAAAAAGACGTTTTCTGCTTGTGCATTTAGTTATATGAACATCTTTTTTCCTTAGGATTGTATTTGTTTGATTTTCTTGTAAAGAATTGTTCTATCTGCAACAAAGATAATTGTACCAAAAATTTCCAAATTTAAGTTTGTCTCTAAAGATAACTTTTTATACTAACTTAATTTCTTATAGAGAAACGAGTGGCTTTCTCTGCTTCCCTGCTGGCCTCAGGTGGAGGACATATTGGACCATTTAACACTCAGAGACCTCTAGTTTTCAGGAATGTTGTTGCAAATATTGGCAATGCCTACAACCCAGACACAGGTACTCAACCATTGTTTTGAAATTGTTATGCTCTTAACAATCCTGACAAGAACCTGGTTTGTGTTACTTTATTTAAACAAATTTAGAGAAGAAAATTAAAATGAAAACGTTATGTTCCCCAGTTTTTTTCATTGCACCTGTGAGAGGAGCTTATCACTTTGAGTTCTACTTACATGGAGGTGGACATGCGTCACATACTACAGGTGCTGTGTTGGTCAAGAATGGAAAGCCATTTTTCACTGCATCTGCACATCAGCCTTCTTATTCTGTTAGCCCATCAAATGGTGTCACATTGCTGTTAGAAATTGGAGATGTTGTATTAGTGAATCAGGTGCAAAACTCAAGAATTTATGATGATCACACTCATCCTACCACCATTAGTGGTCATTTGCTTTTTACTATGTGATTATGAAACATTTCTTGTTCTATTATGTTCTAAAATGTCACAGAAGTTCTCCACAGGAATCTCACTCAATCTCTCACTCTAAAAATCCTAATAGATTTTGTCTAAGCTTGAAAATGTAATGAAGTTTTGCACAATGTAGAACTTTCACTTTGTCCTTTTGAAACCTTTATTTTCATAAACTGTTGATTTGAGAATAAAATGGTTTATTTGACAATTGTCTAAAGAAATGAAAGTGTGTAATTTTTGCACACCTTGTTTATAGATTACCATGTACTAATAAGAATTTTATGAAACCAGGTTGAACTGTTTATAAGCTTTATTTGTCCTATTAATATAATAAACTACAAAATGGGTAAAAAGTCAGTTTTACATAACATTTTTGGGTTAAGAAACATTGTTGAATCAAGATTTTGACTGATACCAAGAGATTGTTTTTGTGATCTTTCCACAAAAAAAGACATTTGATGGACATGCAGTAACTACTGGGTCCGTCGGTCGTTAACTTATTATGGATGTCTAGACCTTGTGCAAATAAGGTCAATGTTTCAACTTCTGACTGACATTTTATGGATGTCATAAAGGCATTTAATACAGATGGTTTGCAAAAAAATTCTTAACATGTCCACTGTGCAAAGACTCATCTATCTGACATCTTTTTCAGGTCATCTCTGCACGTCTCACGTGGTGCTTTAAAAAACAGAGTTCCCTCTGGGGACTAAATTGTCAAGGTGTGACAGGGGCTTAACATAGAAAGTGTTAAAGTATCAGTGTTTATATGTTACTTTTGTATATGTGTTTCTTTCTCCTTGAAATCCCAGTTGGGCTCATCAGAAAACAGTTCACACTGAGCGTGGTGCTGCTGGAGGTTTCTTTCTGTTAAAAGGGAGATTTTTTCCTTTCAACTGTAGCTGCATGCATGCATGCTTTGTATGGGGGATTGCTGTAAAGTCAATGACAAAATGAGTGAATCCTTCACAGTCATTATCTGGATTAAATGAGCTTGTTTCCCTTAGATCGAAAATATTAAAGCAATCTTTCTAGATGATCTGAATGAAATGTCTATGTGAAAGGCCTAGAGATGGCATGTGCTTTGGGAATTGAATTATCTGAATTGAATGAACATTCTAACATTTATGTTTAATTGTGTCTAATTTAGACCGATATAGCACCGCTAGACCTAGTACAAATGCAGTGCAAACTAAGGAGATTATATTGATTTTAAGTAATCAATTTTTTTCCAGATTGATTGGTTGATTGACTTTATTGATCTTACTCGTTACATCAACTCAAGTAGTCAAAGAAGAAGAATGTGCCAAAAGAAGAAAAGGTTTTTGGGAAATATACAGTATATACAGTGCGTCCACAAACAAGAGCTTTTTTTTTTTTTGTATTTTAGGATCATTATACAGGGTTATTGCACAGGGTGTTTACATGGGTATTTATATAGATGGATATTTATATTTATATATATGGTTATTGCACTGGGTGTCAAATAAAGAGAAACAGGTCATTGCACAGGGTATCAAATTGTAAATTGTACATTATACATTGCACAAGTTATTGCCGTTGTAAAGTCTGGTTGCAGCAGTGATGAATGACCTGCAGTAGCACTCCTTTTTACAAACAGGGTGTAAAAACTCTTTCACTAAAGGAGCTGCTCAGCTCCTCTACAGACTGGTGCAAAGGTTGGAAGGTGTTGTCCATGATGGATGTGATCTTGGACAGCAGCTACCTTAACCCCTTGAACCCTACGGACCCACCGGTGGGTCCAGCTGCTACGTGACCTCGTAATTTTAACAAACCCCCAGTATTGATGTAAAAAACATATTTGGCACAGTTTGGTGACATTTATGGATAAATGTGCCAAAATGGCCTCTCCGCCTAAGAAATTTCTCACTAATACCATTCTAAAATAAATATGATTCATCTGATTGAGTCCAAATTTGGTATATTTTTACACAACATTTAGATTTGAAAGTCTGTACTACTTTTTTGTGCTATAAATAATATTTTGGTAGTGTTTTGCAATGTTTATTTCAAAGAAAATTTTGGCGAGGTTCAAAAAATGCAAAATATTTTGTATTTTGTCCCTAATATTTCAGGCAGGGTCAAAGCTACAATGGTGCTGACACCAGAAAACCATTCTATGACATCTTACCTTTACAGACGTACCAAAAGTTTCTTCTTAAATCTAATAGCTTTGAGGCTATAAGTTATTTACTTTTGTGTGTTTTTGTCAGGCAGAAATTTATTTATACCCCCTTAGGGTGTAAGAGGCTAAGCCACTTCTCCACTCAGTCCAGGGTGTAGCCTTGGACAGATGTGGCCTTTCTCACTACTTTGTTCAGTCTCTTTCTGTCCCGCTCTTCGCTGCCAGGGGGCCAGCAGACAACAGCCTAGAGGAGTGCTAATGCCACCACAGAGTCATAGAAAGTTTTAAGTAGTGGCCTGCTCACTTCAAAGGACCTCAGCCTCCTCAGGAGGTGTAGGCAGCTCTGGCCCTTCTAATACGTCTAATACGGCGTCAGTGTTGAGCCCAGTCCAGTTTGTTATTGACATAAATACCCAGGTATTTGAAACTCTCCACAGATTCTATGTACTGCCCCTGGATGTTCACGGGGGAGTGAGGAGGGGCTCTTCTCCTGAAGTCGATCACCATCTTTTTGGTCTTACTGGTGTTATCACACAGGTGGTTCTTCTCACATCAGTCCACAAAGTTCATGATGATCGATATTCCATCTCGTACCCCTCAGAAACACAGCCTACAATGGCAGAGTCATCTGAAAACTTTTGGAGAGGCCAGCTGTACATGTTGTAGGTGAAGTCCGAGGTGTAAAGGGTGAAGAGGAATGGAGACAGAACGGTGACCTGGCGGGCTCTGGTAATGCAGACTGCCACCTCTGACTGACAGCCCTGCAGCCACACATACTGAGGGAGTTCACTTGGGTAGTTGATCGTCAAGGCAGCAAGTTTTCTAATAGCAAGTACTAACAAATATGCTACTAATCTTATTTTAAAAATTCTATCGTTATAATTTCTGTACACCACTTTTAAAACTTTGAAAGTTTAACAAAGTTCAGGAGTTAGCTTGGAGAATTGAAATAGAAAGTTTTATAGTACTGTATAACAACAATAGAAAGAACCACCTCAAATGTTTATACATAAAAGTAGAAAAGTAAAGGTTGGTAAAAACAAAGTTCTGTTTCTTTGATCAGTGCAGATAAGCATAAATGGAATTATGTTTGTGAAGTTTTAAGCACTTTTTAAACACACTTTTTATGAAATTGCAGTTTTAAAAATATTTGCTTTGTTAATCTAGAGTAAGAAATGTCTTGTTTGCATATGTAGATTGTGTTTCACCTACTGAATTGAGTTACCTAAAAAACAAAAAACTATTCAACAATGATGAATCTGTTAAATATGACTTTGTATCATTAAATTATGTTTTTATCAAACTTTACTGCTCAATTTCCCCTCATGTTTTAACTCAAATATCTAGTATGAAATGAACCTAATACATGGTGTGTTTTGGGATCCGGAAGCTTGCCCACCAGAGGGCGCCATGGATCCCTTCCTGGGGGTTTGTGTTTCTGTTGGTTTCTAGGTTCTGTCTGCCTTTCTCCTCCAGAGGGCGGGTCTCCTGAAGCTGAAACTGACTTCACCAGCTGTTCCTCATCTGCTCATCAGGAGACCAGCTTTTAAGGAGAGGCAGAGCAACACTCCAGCGCCAGAGTGTTTGCCAGTTATGGTTAGCAAGCCTGAGCCAACTTGCCTGTCTGAATCTCTGACTCCCCTGAAACCTGAACCTAATCTGTTTTTGTCCTCTCTGCTTCCTAGGAAGAACCTGTCTGAACCCAGAAACTCTGGAAGAGGTTCTCAGTCTGAAACCAGTCTGTCTGATCTCTGAAGAACCCTGGAAAGTCAATTTGTCAGATACCTGCCTGCCCACTCTCTGAAGAAACTGAAAGAGAAGCTCGGATCAGAATCTGCAAGATCAGTAACCAAGCTCTGCCTCTGCATAGCCCTCTGCCTGCCTTCAGCCTCTGGACCCTCCTGGTTCCCCTCCTCTGCCACTCTGCTTAAACCTCTGAACAGGTACAGACCTGCACTCATTCAACCAGCAAACATACCTGGATATCTGCTAACCATTCTGTCCCCCTCTGCAGAGAAACCAGTCGTAAACAGTCCTGGACCTGATACCCCCCTGCATCAGTACTTTATTATCATTGTGCTTCAAAATAAACTGTTGAACTTTTTCCCTGAGTCCGTGTGTTCTGCATGTGGGTTAGAAACCTTAATACCAACATGACAGTGTGCAAGATACAGCAGCTTTTTCATAAAAGACATGTAAAAAAACAAAAAAAAATCTAAATCAAAATAAATAGTGCCTACAAAATTGTTTGTAAGTCAAAATCTCAATCCATCCATCCATCTTCTACCACTTATCCAGGGTTGGGTCGCTGGGGTAGCAGCTTCAGTAGGGAGGACCAGATGTCCCTCTCCCCAGCCACTTGGACCAGCTCCTCCAGGGGTATCCCAAGGCACTCCCAGGCCAGCAGAGCAACATAGTTCCTCCAGCGTGTGCTGGGTCTCCCCTGAGCCTCCTCCCGGTGGGATGTGCCTGGAACACATCACCAGGGAGACGTCAAGGAGGCATCCTAATCAGATGCCCAAGCCACCTCAACTGGCTCCTCTCGATGTGGAAGAGCAGCGGCTCTACTCTGAGTCCTCCCCAGATGACTGAGCTCCTCACCCTATATTTAAGGGAGAGCCCAGACACACTTCGGCAAAAACTCATTTCAGCCGCTTGTATCGGGGATCTCATTCTTTCTGAGGGTATGAATGTAGATTGACCGGTAAATCGAGAGCTTTGCTTTTTGGCTCAGCTCTCTCTTCACCACAACAGATCGGTAGAGTACACGCTTCACAGCAGACGCTGCGCCAATCCACCTGTCAATCTCCCGCTCCATCTTCCCCTCATTCGTGAACAAAACCCCAAGATACTTAAACTCCTCCACTAGGGGCAGTACATCCTCCCCAACATGGAGAAGGTCCTCTACCCTTTTCCGGTTCAAGATCGTGGTCTCGGATTTGGAGGCACTGATCCTCATCCCGGCCGCTTCACACTCAGCTGGGAACCGCTCCAGTGAGAGCTGTAGATCACGCCCTGATGAAGCCAATAGAACCACATTATCTGCGAATAACAGAGATGCAATCCTAAGGCCACCAAAACAGACCCCTCAACACCTTGGCTGCATCTAGAAATTCTGTACATAAAAGTTATGAACAGAATCTGTGACAAAAAACCTTGGTGGAGTCCAACCCTCACTAGAAACAAGTCCAAATTACTGCCGGCAATGCGGACCAGGCTCTGACACCGGTCGTACAGAGACCTAACAGCCCTTATTAAAGGGCCTGGTACTCCATACTTCCAGGACCCTGTAATACACCTTACCAGGAGGCTTAAGAGTGTGATTCCTCTGTAGTTGGAACACACCCTCTGTTCCCTTTTTTTAAATAGAGGGACCACCACCCCAGTCTACAAATCCAGGGGAACTGCCCCGATGTCAAAGCAATGTTGCAAAGCCGTGTTAACCAACACAGCCCCACAACATCCAGAGCCTTAAGGTACTAAGGGTGAATCTCATCCACCCCTGGGGCCTTGCCACCGAGGAGCTTTTAAACCACCTCAGTGACTTTAGCATCAGAGATGGGAGAACCCGAGCTGGAGCCCCCAGGCTCTGCTTCCTCAATGGAGGTATTCGAAGTATTCCACCCACCAACATACAGTGTCCCGAGTCGAGGTCAGCAACACACCACTCCCACTATAAATAATGTTGGTACTGCACTGCTTCCCCCTCCAGAGACGCAAAATTGTGGACCAGAATTGCTTCGAAGCTGTACGGAAGTCTTTCTCCATGGCCTCTCCAAACTCCTCCCACACCCGAGTTTTTGCCTCAGCAACCAGCCGAGCCACCTGCCGCTTTGACTGCAGGTACATATCAGCTGCTTCTGGAGTCCCACAGGTCAATAAAGTCAAATAGGACTTCTTCTTCAGCTTGACAGCTTACCTCGCCGCTGGTGTCCACCAGCGTGTTCTAGGGTTGCTGCCTCAACATGCAACAACAACCTTGCAGCCACAGCTCTGACTAGCCACCTCAACAATAGAGGCATGGAACATGGTCAACTCAGACTCAATGTCCCTCAACTCCCTCGGAATGTGTTCAAAGCTCTGCCGGAGATGGGAGTTAAAGCTCCTTCTCACAGGGGACTCTGCCAGACGTTCCAAGCAGACCCTCACAATACGTTTGGGCCTACCAGGTCTTACCGGCATCCTCCCTCACCATCAGAGCCAACTCACCACCTAGTAGTTGTCGGTTGAGAGCTCTGCCCCTCTCTTCACCCAAGTGTCCAAGACATGCGGCCGGAGGTCAGATGAAACAACAACAAAATCGATCATTGAACTATGGCCTAGGGCAGTGGTTCCCAAAGTGTGGGGCGCGCCCCCTAGGGGGGGCGCAATGCCATTGCAGGGGGGGCGCGGTAAGCGGTATGGATGAATGAAGAAAAAAAAAAAAAAAAAAAGGGCTTGCTTTGACTGAGCATAATGGACAGTTATGACACTGCAACCCAGATTTGAGAAGATCTGCAACAACAAGCAGGCTCACTACAGCCACTGAAAAGATGGGAGGATTAAAGTACAAAGAAAAAACTCTCAGGGAGCTGTTCAATGTTTTCACTCCATTTTGCACAGAGCCTTTTTTAATTTATTGATGATAGCAAAGTTAAATATTGTTACAAATAAAAAAAAAGAAATATGTTTAAAATAACACAGACAACAAAGAATCCTCTTCTAATCTACAGTATAGAACTATGAAAAAAATACAGTTACACAAAGTTGTTCCACTGTAAAGGTGGTGTGTAGTTTGTTTTGTTGCAACCTGAAGTGTGAAATAAACTTCAGTGGAGTTTGAAAACAAAATATGTGTATAGGTTTATTATATCTGGTTGAACGCTGTGTGTGCCCTGTTGATTTTTTTTTTTTTTTTTTTGGGGGGGGGGGGGGGGGGGGGGCGTGGAAATTCTATTGTACTCCAAAGGGGGGCCCCGAAGAAAATCTTTGGGAACCACTGGCCTAGGGCATGGGTGTCAAATTGTTCCAGAAAGGGCCGTGTGGCTGCAGGTTTTCTTTCCAACCAAGCAATAACACACCAGACTCCAGTCATCTCATCAAGGGAGTCCAATCTGAACATGATGACTTGGTGATATGAATGGAGTCAGGTGTGTTATTGTTGGGCAATCAATTACTAGCACAGAAGTCCAACAACAGAACACCACTCCAGTTCAGGTCAGGTGGGCCATTCCTTCATCACGCCTCCCCAAGTATCACTGTCATTGCCCACATGAGCGTTGAAGTCCCCCAGAAGAACAAGGGAGTCCCCAGGAGGGGCACTCTCATTTACCCCCCCAAAGACTCCAAAAAGGGTTGGTGATCTGAACTGCTGTTTGGCGAATAAACACAAACAACAGTCAGAACCTGTCCCCCCATACGATGCAGAAGGAGGCCACCCTCTCATTTACCGGGTGAACCCCAATGTACAGGCACCAAGATGAGGAGCAATAAGAATGCCTACTCATGCTCGGTGCACCTCACCAGGGGCTACTCCAGAGTGGAAGAATGTCCAGCCCCTGTCAAGGAGACTGGTTCCAGAGCCAGAGCCATGCGTCAAGGTATGTCCAACTATCGCTGGTTGAAACCTTTCAACCTCGCGCACTAACTCAGGCTCCTTCCCCACCAGAGAGGTGACATCCGATGTCCCAAGAGCCAGCTTCTTTAGCGGAGGATCAGAATGCAAAGTCCCCACCCTCGAATGCCACCCGTCACACATTAACCGACCCCTTTGGCCCCTCCTACAGATGGTAAGACCATTGGAAGGGTGACCCACATTTCCTCTACGGGCTGTGCATGGGTAAAAGCCCAGCCACTAGGGGCTTTTCAGCCTGCCCCATTCCCAGGCCTGGCTCCAGAGTGGAGCCCCGGTGACCCGCGTCCGGGCGAGGGAACACTACGTCCATTTATGTTGCTCGTCATAAGGGGTCTTTGGGCTGCTCTTTTTCTGGTTCCTCTCCTAGGACTTGTTTGCCTTGGGTGACCCTACAAGGGGGCATAAAGCCCCCAGACAGCATAGCTCCTAAGGTCATTGGGACACTCAAACCCCTCCAACACAATAAGGTGCAATCCCAGGGAGGAGTGAGTCAAAAGGCTTTTAAATTTTATTTAAAATCAATCAAATTTAAAACCCTGATCCTTAAATAAAGGACAATCCATTTCTGGAGCTTTATAAGTAATGTACTCTTTGTTGTTGTAAACTGTACATGACTTAGAATAAAAAGTACAATATTGACCCCTTACTATGATACTAAGCATTTGGAATGTATAATTGTTTAACATGCACCATTGCACAAGAAGATGGTAAAGTGCAGCCAGAACACTGGCACCATTTTTCCAGAATTTTTCCACTTGGATCCCCACTCTTTTTAACCCTCATGTCCCTCCGTTGTCGCACAAATTTGCCCCTTGTGTTTTTCCATTTCCTCACTGCCTCGGCTATATCTAGATCCACAGCTAGTTTGTGATAGTCCCTCTTGTGTTGTGCCGTGGAACAACATAGCACAGACCACGCTTCAATATTGGGCATAAATCAAAATTATCTGCGTCAAGCTCACTGGGACACACTGCTGCGGGAGGATAACCAGCCCTTTAAACCCACACTGGTCCCCCACTGTTCCCCAAGTGCCGCAAAATGGCAGCCCGCCGCTCCCCAAGGGGATGAATTAAATGCAGAGTGTTGATTTTGTTGCTCTGTACTTGTGACAGTGTAATGACAATAAAATAAAGAGAAAAAAATAAGTTGTGCATTGAAGGATAACAAACAAAATAGGCAAATATTGTCAGGTTGTGTGAAGGTTTTTAAATGATCCAAATGCAGAGATAAAAGCTGAGGTTATTGAAGATGTTCAACATTCAATGGCTTTGGTTGCCTTTGAATGCTGAAGGTTCAAAGGCTGCAAAAGCAAAACCATAATAGAGAAAACCAAAAAATACAGAAAACTTTATATAATTCAGCAGATTTAAACTGGCCAGAGTACTGCAGAGCACAGCTGAAATCTTTTGTGCAGTGGACTACAGAATCAAATAAGAGAAATCTTTTGTGCCAATACAAAACCTGAATACCTTTAAAAAACAAAGGTGTACTTTAAAAGTTATTTCTTGGAGTTATGTCACAAAACTGTATAAATCAGCATTATACAGTATATTGGCAACACAATCAGAATGTATTTTATGAACAAGCAATTGCGTAGACTTCATCTCTAAATAACAGTTTTTTTTTAATGCAATATAACACGTCAAATAAGTGAAGCCTTATCACCTTCATGTGTCTGTAAATGGAAAACTTTTAAAGAGGTAGACTCATAGATAGTGAGAATGGAGGTTATGATGTTTGCTTTTCTTTACAATGTCTACAAAATAATAACTTTGAGAGTATTTAAGGGTTGGATCAGCACAGTAACCAACATTGTAGGGGACTTGAAGAAAACAATGCTGAGAATGGAGAAAATAACGATTTTCCAATTGTTCCTTCTAATCTGCTCTTTTTCCACAGCTCTGCTTCAATCAGACTCAGAGAATGAAATAATTTCACATTTAAAGCAAACTGAATCACAGACTGAAGGTACAGGAAGTCTCTCTGACCCCCAACAAAGATGTACACAAGACATCAATGCTGTGCTGAGAGAGATGAGCGCCTCTTTGGGTGGACTTAAAGTTGGCATGGAGTACTTACAGAGAGATAATGAAGGTATGTTAACCCAGAAAACCAAAGCTTTAAAGAATCACCTCTCAGAGTCGATTTTTTATTTTTAAATAAACATCTAAACTTGTTTTCTTTTACTTCTGCAAACAGCTAAGACAAAAGAAATAGAGTTATTGAAAGAACAGTACCAAGGTAATTTTTAGACAAAAAACAAACACCTGATTTTTTAAATGGCATCACATCTTAACATCTGTCATTTTATTTCTGCTAACAGCTGGGACAAAAGAAATTGAGTTGTTGAAAGAACAGGACCAAGGTAATTATTAGAGAGAAAACAAACACCCGGATTAATTACAGAAACTTTTTATATTTAGAATACATAAAATAATAATGCTTAAATTGATACCAGTTGTTTGTTTATTTTTCAGTACAAGCAGCAAAAATAAGAAAGCTTGAGCAGCAGAATCAAGGTATTTATCATATCATCATTTTAAGAATAAATAATCTTACACTATGTGATGTTTGTTTATAATAGATAATTGACACATTTCGCATGAATCACTTTTAGAGGGCAAACCTGATTGAATTATTAGTTTCCAGGATGTTAATGAGGTCAAGAGATCAGTAATTCCAAGCTGCATTAAATATGGGAATGTATAAACTACTATGGGAAAGGGGAGAAAAACATAATCTCTATTGGTTATTTTTTAGTTTTATTTAATCTATTATGATTATTTTTTATCGATTTACAGCTCAGGCAGAAGAACTGATCTCTGTTAAAGCCAGGGCAAACAACACTGAGGACCAAGTGGAGGTTCTGAGCAGGGAAGGGAAAGGTTTGGAAAAAAAAAATCTTAAAATATTTAAATAAATTATATTTCATAATCTTATGTGTAGTCTGCAACTAATAAGATGTTTTATACTTTTTCTGTTTGTGCATTTAGTTATATAAAAAAAATCTTTTTTTGTATTGTATTTGGTTTATTTTCTTGTAAAGCATAGTTTTATCTGCAACAAAGATAATTGTACCAAAAAGTTCCAAATTTATGTTTGTTTCTAAAAATAACTTTTTAATCTTAAAGGAATAGTACACCCAAAACATGATTAGCCTTCATTTTCTACTCACCCCCATGCTGAACAACACTCTGGAGTACTTTTTTGATATCTCGAATGCATCTGGAGATCTGGGAGGCTTCTTGCTGTCTGCTGACATTCAAATAATGGAGGTCTATGGTGACCGAGACAGAAAGGTCCATAAAAGTCCACAAAAAACGTGTCAATATTCCTCCATACTGCTCGTCCAATGTATTCCAAGTGTCCTGAGTGGGTAGCATCCAGAATTTACTCGAAACGAAGTCATTTAGAATGTTTTTAGAGCATAAACAGTAGTGTATAGGATTTCCTGAAAGCGCGCACATGCGCGCTCACGACGCTACGGAAGCCGGCAGACCAAACCAGATGAAAGTGCGCATTCAGCGTCTGCTCTTCCAATAATGCAAGCGTAGAAGAAGAAATGTGCTGTTTACCTGTGCAAAGAAAGAAACAACGAAAGAAAAATGTCTGAGGACTTCAGTGTTGAGGAAGAGCATGAGTTCTTTGCCGAGCTGAATGCGCTGGTTTGGTCTGCCGGCTTCCGTAGCGTCGTGAGCGCGCATGTGCGCGCTTTCAGGAAGTCCTATACACTACTGTTTATGCTCTAAAAACATTCTAAATGACTTTGTTTCGAGTAAATTCTGGATGCTGCCCACTCAGGAAACTTGGAATACATTGGACGAGCAGTATGGAGGAATATTGACACGTTTTTGTGGACTTTTATGGACCTTTCTGTCTCGGTCACCATAGACCTCCATTATTTGAATGTCAGCAGACAGCAAGAAGCCTCCCAGATCTCCAGATGCATTCGAGATATCAAAAAAGTACTCCAGAGTGTTGTTCAGCATGGGGGTGAGTAGAAAATGAAGGCTAATCATGTTTTGGGTGTACTATTCCTTTAATTATTCTAACTTAATTTCTTATAGAGAAACGAGTGGCTTTCTCTGCTTCCCTGCTGGCCTCAGGTGGAGGACATATTGGACCATTTAACACTCAGAGACCTCTAGTCTTCAGGAATGTTGTTGCAAATATTGGCAATGCCTACAATCCAGAAACAGGTACTCCAACATTGTTTTGAAATTGTTATGCTCTTAACAATCCTGACAAGAATAGGGTTTGTGTTTCTTTATTTAAACAAATTTAGAGAAGAAAATTAAAATTAAAACATTATGATCCACAGGTTTTTTCATTGCACCTGTGAGAGGAGCCTATCATTTTGAGTTCTACTTACATGGAGTTGGACATGCGTCACATGGTACAGGTGCTGTGTTGGTCAAGAATGGAAATCCTGTTTTCATTGCATGGGAACATCAGCCTTCTTATTCTGTTAACCCATCAAATGGTCTCACATTACTGTTAGAAATTGGAGATGTTGTATTATTGAATCAGTGGCAAAACTCAAGAATTTATGATGATCAGAATCATCATACAACCTTTAGTGGTCATTTGCTTTTTACCATGTAATTCTGAAACATTTCTTGTTCTATTATGTTCTCAAATGTCACAGAAGTTCTCCACAGGAGACTCTAATTTCAGTAACTGCATATAATACTGTATCTTTTCCCTGTAAAAAATCCTAGTAGATTTTGTCTTAACTTGAAAATGTAATGAAATTTTTTTACAATGAAGAACTTTCACTTGAAACCTTTATTTCTGATAAACTATTGATTTAGAAATAAAATGGTTTATATGACAATTGTCTAAAAATGAAAGTTTTATGTGTAACTTTTATGAAAATGTTTAAGGAATACTTGTAGAAATTTACAAAGATGCACACATTGTTTGTAGATTACCATGTACTAATAAGAATTTTATGAAACCACGTTGAACTGTTTATCAGCTTTATTTGTCTTATTAACATAATAAAATATAAAAATAAGGTCACACGGTTTTAAAAGTCCCTTTTACTTAAGGTTTTTGGTTTAAGAAACATTTTTGTATCAAGATTTTGAATGATACCAAGCGACTTGTGATCTTTCCAATAAAAGTAAGAGATCTGATGGACGTGCAGTAACTACTGGGTCCTTCGATCGTCGACTTGTTATAGATTTCTAGACCTTCTGCAAATAAGGTCAATGTTTGAACATCCGACTTGTCATTTTATGGACATATTCAATGCAGATTATTTACCAAAGAAATTCTTAACATGTCCAATGTGCAATGACTCATCTATCTGACATCTTTTTTGGGTCATCTCTGCACGTCTCATGTGGTGCTTTAAAAAACAGAGTCCCCTCTGGGGACTTAATTGTCAAGGTGTGACAGGGGCTTAACATAAAAAGTTTTAAAGGATCAGTGTTTATATGTTACTTCTGTATATGTGTTGCTGTCTCCTTGAATTCCCAGTTGGGCTCACCAGAAGACAGTTCAAGGAGAATTCCGGTTTTTAACACTTTTAGCCCATTTTCTGTAGTGTCCAGGATGAAATCGAATGATCGACACCAAAATTTTGACAATTGGTCCTGTCTCTGATATTTGGCTCATGCAGAATCCCCCCCTGGCTGCTTCAGAATGGCTTCCATAGTGCATGTCCGATAATGTCCTTAAAACAACCTTAAACGTTCTTTTTTTAAAATATGCTACTCACCGGGTCGTCAGCGCTGTTCAATGACGTTCCAAAAAAAGTTTCGTAAAGAAAAAACGTTCCTGTAGTGTTTTATTTAGCGTTTTGTAAATCCCATTGAGTTCTGGGATTTACAAAATGCTAAATAAAACAAGACAGGAACGGTTTTTCTTCACGAAACTTTTTTTGGAACGTCATTGAACAGCGCTGACGACACGGTGAGTAGCATATTTTAAAAAAAGAACGTTTAAGGTTGTTTTAAGGACATTATCGGACATGCACTATGGAAGCCATTCTGAAGCAGCCAGGGGGGGATTCTGCATGAGCCAAATATCAGAGACAGGACCAATTGTCAAAATTTTGGTGTCGATCATTCGATTTCATCCTGGACACTGCAGAAAATGGGCTAAAAGTGTTAAAAACCGGAATTCTCCTTTCACACTGACTGTGGTGCTACTTGAGGTTTGCTACTTGAGGTTTGCTACTTGAGGTTTCTGTCTGTTAAAGGGGAGTTTTTCCTTTCAACTGTTGTTGCATGCATGCATGCTTGGTAGCATGGCACCAGGTGCATGTTGGTGTTATGAGTCGAGTCCAGTTTGTTATTGATATAAACAACCAGGTATTTGAAATTCTTCACAGATTCTATGTCCTGCCCCTGGATGTTCACGGGGGAGTGAGGAGGGGCTCTTCTCCTGAAGTCGATCACCATCTCTTTGGTCTTACTGGCGTTAAGACAAGGGTGGTTCTTCTCACATCAGTCCACAAAGTTCATGATGATCGATATTCCAACTCGTACCCCTCAGAAACACAGCCTACTATGGCCGATTCATCTGAAAACTTCTGGAGATGGCAGCTGTCCATGTTGTAGGTGAAGTCTGAGGTGTAAAGGTTGAAGAGGAATGGAGACAGAATGATGCCCTGGGGCGCTCCGGTACTGCAGACTGCCACCTCTGACTGACAGCCCTGCAGCTGCACATACTGAGGGAGTTCAGTGAGGTAGTAGATGGTCAAGGCAGCAAGATGTCTGTCCACTACAGCGTCCTGTAGCTTCCCAGTTCATTCAAATTGAATATTGCTGCAAAAAAACAATAAATATGATACTAATCTTATTTAAAAAATTCTATCATTAGCAAACCTTTCTTCTTCTTCTGTTTTTCTGCTCTACTTACATTGCAGTGTCCATATGAACTGTAAAACTCCCTGCATAATTATAATAAAGCAATTTATATACATGAAACAAGTGGAGCAGTATGGCAATTGCGATACCGCTACACTTGTGAAAGTAAAATCTGTTGGGCTCCTTTTGGCATCAAGACAATTATTCTTATTGCCACCTTGCCAGACAGGACACTGTTAAAAAAAAAAAAAAAAAAAAAAAAAAAAATTAGTCTTCATCCTCAATGGTCCTTGCAGGCAGGCCAGAACGGACCAATCCACTTTGCCATTGAGTTCTCCAGGGCTTTCTGCTCTTTGGCATCAGGTTTGTACAGTGTTGGTGCTCCCAACATCTCTGCAATAGACTTCCCTTTCTTCCCCAACCTCTGTTTTGGCTGTGGTGTCACTGTGTCAGGAATCTAGCTGGGAGGAAAAAATTTAAACTATTATTTTCCAGTGTATCAGTAGAACATCTTTCTTCTGTGACAGAGAGACAGACAGATACAGGCACAGGAAGGCGCACCCACATCCACATGCATGCACACCTGCGCACACACATATACATTCACATGCATGCACTCGTGAAAGCACATACACACCCGTTCCCACTACTAAAGGCCCACCCGTTCCTTACCTCCCTTCTTCCATATGGCAGCATGTTGGGACCTCAGATCTCGCTGGAGATTTGCTGTGTTCTTCCCTGCCATTTTGAATCCGCAGACTCTTTGGTGGTGCTTACTGTGCTGTTTTCCTTTGCGTTTTAAACAAAATGGCTCCATACATCCATGCGTTGGTTTAACAAACCGCACACTGGTATCCGCAATGACAGCTAAGTTGAGCTAGGAGTATAAGCTCTCTGCTAGTACTGACTGAGTGCTGCGAGGGACTGTGGGACATGTGCCATTTAGGGACAAACAGTGCAACAACGCACAATCTTCTATTCAGCTCAAGAAACACTTATAGCTTCAGCAATTACAAATTAATTATAAACAATTACATTTCTTAATGCCCATTCATCAATGGATTGTAAATTTTGTCTGGTCTTAGTCTCGTTATCAAAACAAATTTTTATTTTCGTCATATTTTTATTTTCTGGAAACAATTTTTGTGCGTTATCATGTCGTCATCGTCACGGGAAAAAGGGGCGTTGATGAAATATTTTCTTCATCATCATGGTTGTTGAAATTAACACTGATTCAGTTTAAAATGTTTAAATATACAAGACATTAAAAACATAAACTGTGTGGGTGTGTATTTTTGTTTTAACATGTTTTGTTGTTCTTTTACTATGTGATGTGACTTAAGGTAAGAAGCCAAAAACGTTTCTCATAAGAGTTACCCTTTAATAATATTAGTTTCCTAAAAACGTATGGAGAATGGAGAAGAACAACTACTTCTAAATGTAAGTAATTATGTAGGATGTTATTGTGAGCTGAAGATATATATACATGTGTTGTGATTCTACAGTTAAATTCTATTCCCAGCCCACTGGGAATTTATGTTTCTGATTCTTTAAGATGATTAGCATCATCAAAAGACACATTGCTTGTTCTGTCCCTAATCATGCCAGACCTGCAAACCTTTTTCCATGTCCGTTTGGAAAGCTTGAGTTTCATCCAGTTTTGCAGCTCTGCAGTCAGGGATTCTTTGTCTCAGTCTCACAGCAGGGGTCCTCTCAGTCTCACCCCCAAGGGCATGGTTCTCATCCAGTTTGGCTCTGTAAGTTCTGAAACTCAAGAGAAATGTGTTGCAAAAGTTCTGTTTGCAGCAGTTAGGTAGGGTGACCAAACGTCCGTATGTCCCGGGACATATACGTATTTTACGTCCTGTCCCGGGCGTCCCGGGTTTTTTTTAGAAAGTGAGGAAATGTCCTGATTTCACTGCGCACAACGCTCCGTGTGACGTAATCCCTGAGCCGCGTCAGTGCGGGCAGCCCTGTTCTTAATCAGAGGCTCTGTTCGAAAACCTGGGCTGAATCCTCCAAGGACGCGGTCTACCTAGACTGGATCCTTCGAAGTCCTTGAAAATAAGGAGGCCAGAAGAGTTTTGCCTGTAAATTCGAACAGGTCTACCCTTTAGCGGGTTTTACCGCCGTATGCTCTGTTGCTTAGCAACCGTGAAAGTTGACACACAAAGCAGGAAAAGAATGAAATACCGAGGTTTTCAAAACTGTTTGTTTATTTATTTATTTATTTTTTTAAAGTTAAAGTGAACAAAGACTACACTCACAAGAATCCAGAGTGGAATAAAGATTCCAACCACCGGGAGCAGGAACAAATCAAATCAAATGTAATGATAGAAACCTTAGTCAGTTAAATAACCTGCTGCTGTCATTCTGCACATCTCTGATGTTACTGCTATCTTCAAATATCCATTACTGTAAAAATGTCCATAGCTGCATATTGGTTATTAATAAGGCTCGGGCACAGCGCGTTGCATTCTGGGTACGCCGCCATATTGGTAGCTAGTTGCTACGGTAAACAAAGACCTAAAACAGCATAGAGACAGAGCAGAAAGACGAGTAAACAGCAATGTTAAAAGCGAAGAAAGGATGCGGAATATACCGAGACACACTGCAGAGGGAAGCCAGGGACCGTTATCTGCAAAAGATGGGCTTCATAAACGGACTTGATCCCTACGAAGTAGAAAGCAAGGAGTGGTGCGTTGGGGAAGAATTTCTACCGCCGTTTGCGAGGGAGGACGTATTTTCGTATCTAGTGTTTGGTGTCAGTGCCTACACACATGAAGAGTTTCGCTGCTACAAGTCGCTAGAGGCTTACAAACAGCTGACAGATGGAAAAGTTCATGACATGGAAGTTATCAAGCCGAATGAGAACACAGTCATCAGAGCCAAGGTAAGCTACCGTCTCAACATGGTGTGGTGTTTGTTGTGGTGATAAGACTAGGTGCTGGCACTAACGTAAAACATCAAAAATGTATCTAAATAAATCTTGTGCTGACTGTACGTGTCCAGGGATAATGTAGTTACATTCTGATGATATATGACTGTCCTAGCATGGTACTACCACGCAGGGTTAGATCAGCCAACAACGGTTAACTTGAAATGATACATGAATAAAAACAGTATGTTCTGTAACTTACCAGAATGAAAATGCCGGGAACACACTCTCATGGACGCAGGGATTGAGTTGAAAGTTATATTTGGCCGTCTTACAGCAGCGACTCATGCTAGCCGGCGACTCTTTGTTATGGAGGACATTTGTTTTCCATTGAGACGCCTCCAGGTTGGAAAACGGTAAAAAGACAATCCATTTGGGATTTTTTTCCCCGTCCAGTCACAGCTTGCGCTACTACACCCTACGACACAGCAACGGGCGACCATAACGACAGCAGAGGTAAAATGAAACGGCAAAAAACTAAGCAAACTACTAGCAGAAGAAAGCTAGTCCTTACAGGCGCGAAGTCAAAGTGTAAACAGTGGGCTGACCAGCTATCAATATGGCTGCCGCGCAACGTGTGACGTCATGTGCCCGAGCCTTATTCTACAGTTTTATATTGCTAAAACACTTTACAGAATTTTATTTTTTATATTTCAACTCTTCCCTATCATGTTATTCTTATACATTTTTCTAAGGTCCTCATCTGTGTGACCATTTTCAATAATCTTTCTGCTGCTGTAAATTTGCCCATTGTGGGACAATAAAGGGATTTTCTATTCTATAAAAAGGATAGAAAGATATAAGTAAATCTAAACAATGTATTTATAAAAAATATATCTGCAAAATCTCTAATATTCAACAACAAAAAATACTTAGTTAAGCATATTGTTCAAAACAGCAATAAAAAAATTAAACTCCTATCAGATTTTATAGTTCCCACACTGCAGATTTATTAGAATCTGTCCTTAAATTCCAGCCAAACTCATTTACACAGTAACAGATAAAAACCTTTAGATAAATCAAACATTACCGCCACATATCTGACTCAATAACCATTAAAACAACTAGTAATAAGTAACATTTCCTCTCATCACGGAGCAAATCCCGAACATTTGTTCTTTCAATCAAACCCAATCAAACACTGGTTACTGCTTTAGTTTGTCTGAGACTGGGCCTGTTGTTTCATGGAAATCTAAGAAACAACCCACAGTTGCTTTATCAACTGAATACATGGCTCTATCTGCTACAACTCAGAAGAGCATGTATCTTGTAAATCTATTGAAAGGAATGGACACTTTGAACTTTACACCTGTGAATGTTTTTGAGGACAACCAGGGTGCTATTGCCCTATCTAAAAACCCTGTGACTCGTCAGAGATGTAAGCACATTGACATAAGGTACCATTTTGTCCGTTCTGTTGTATCTTATGGAAAGATTGTTCTTCATTATTGTCCCACGGATGATATGGTGGCTGATGTTTTTACTAAACCTGTAGCAAAAGTCAGGATGGACAAATTTAAATGTTTTCTTTTTGGCAGGTGAACAATGGACTGTACTTTTGTGAAATGAAGTTGAATGTACACTGTATGTAATATTTGTGTCAATTAAGGAACAAGTGGGGGTGTTGACATCTGTGTCCCTAATTGATCCTGTTATCCACTTATGGATGTGGGCGTGGTTTCCACACCGGTGTGCAATCAATAAATGGCAGCAGCTCATTCACAAAAATGATCGCATGCAGGCCAAACGAAATCTCATGTCTCTGTGTCGTATATTGCCTCTGTCTTATACCGGCTGATCAGCTCTTGTGGCGATGGCTGCGCCAACAAATATTTCTAACAGAATTGAAATAGAAAGTTTTATAGTGTAAAAACAATAGAAAAAAAACCACCTCAAATGTTTATACATAAAAGTAACAAAGCAAAGCCTTCGTAAAATACAGCTCTGTTCCTTTGATCAGTGCAGAAAAGCATAAATGGAATCCTGTTTGTGAAGTTTTAAGCACTTATGAAACACACTTTTTATTAAATTTCAGTTTTAAAAATACTTGCTTTATTAATCTAGAGTAAGAAATGTCTTGTTTTCATATGTAGCTTGGAATTAATCTATAGAATGTGTCAAATATTATTGCTCAACTTCCCCTCATGTTTTAACTAAAATATCTAATATGAAATGAACCTGATACATGGTGATCAAGATACGGCGGCTTTTTCATAAAAGACAACTTATGTAAAAATAAAAAAAAAGTGAGTCAAAAATCTGTCAAATTTTATTTTAAATCAATCATATTTAAAACCCTGATTCTTTAATGAAGGAGAATTCATTTCTGGAGCCTTATAAGTAATGTACTCTTTATGTTGTTACATACTGTACATGACTTACAATAAAGAGTACAATATTGACCCCTTACTATGACACTAAATATTTGGAAATGTATATTATGTATAAAATGGTGCTTATCTCCAGCCCTCTAAGGGCAAGAGGCGGGGTATAAAATATATAATAAAATGTTTAACATTTATCATTGCACAAGGGGAAAAGCAGAAGCCCGCTGAAGGTGGTATAGTGCAGCTGATCATCAAAAATCCTTGTGTGAGCCCTCTGAAGCAAATACACTACGTCTCCAGCCTCTAAGAGCAAAGTGACGCTGTTCGCAGAGTTGGCACCGAGTGTAGTTTGATGTTCATATGCCATGAAAATGTACTCTCCATTCTTGACCAGCACTGCTCCGGAACCATGTGAAGAATGTCCATGTCCATAAATGTGGTAATTAAAGTGGTAGGCACCTCTCACTGGAGCTGTAAAAAAACCTGGAGGACACAGTATTTAATTTTAAAAAGAGAAATCAGGTAGTCTTAATCATCCACATTCAAAATAAATGATATTGTAATGATGTTACTATTTCATAAATAGGTCCGACTTATTTTTTAAATAAATGAATATAAAATTGCAATACCTGTATTTGGGTTATAGGCGTTTCCAATATTTGAAACAACATTTTTGAAAATCAGAGAAGTGTATGCATTAAAAGGGCCAATGTCTCCTCCCCCTGAGGCCATCAAAGATGCTGAGAATGCCACTCGTTGCACTACAGAGGAAAAGTATTGTTGTGTAGATCAGCATCTATGACGGTTATGAGTTTGCTCTAATTACACAACTGTTTATTCATTAACAAACCTTCTCTTTCTCTGTTAAGAAACTCCACTTTTTTTTGTGTGATGTTTGTTCTGCTTTTAATTTCCATCAGTTCATTTCCTTGTGCTGGAATGATAATAATAAAGGAATTTACAAATAAACCAATGAAATTACCGTCAATCCTTCAGTACGTTTTATAGGAAAGCAGTTAAAATGAAAAGCTTTTCACTGTCATTAATAAAAACATATTAATATAGAAAAAAAGCTTTCCTTCTTTCTTATCATAATAATGTGATTTGTACATTAAAATGTTATAACCCAATACCTTCAAATTGCAGCTTAAGCTTGTCCATCTCTATCATTTGCAACTCCAACTCTTTTATCTTGGCAGCTTGTACTTAAAGCAAATAGAAAGAAACAAAATGTTAATGATTGCCATTTTATAATGGCTGTTATAAAACATGTTGTATTAAATATTACCAAAGATTTGTTAAAGTTGAAAATGTTTATAAATAAATTAATAAAAAAAAGAAAAACATCTTATAGGGCAAACAAATTAAGTAATTTTTTTACATAATAAACATAATCTTAAAAGCAAATATAATACGTTTGCCACTTTTATAATGGCATTCTTAGTTTTGGATCTGGTATGTATCAAAGTCAATAACAAAACATGTGAATATCATTCTCAGAAGCCAGTGTTTCCTGCCTGGTGACTGTTGATTTACAGTAAGTTAATGATGAGGCTGGCAAATGATTTTTCTATGCGACCTTGGTGTTGATAAAGTAAAAGGAATTTACAAACTGTATCGCTAGTTTACAAATAATCTTAACAAATGTCTTTGTTCAGTGGTATATATAAACTAAACAAATGAAAAATAATCAGACTGACTCTGATGTGCTACAGCACGCAGCTCATTAAGTAGCCTTGTTGGATATGTCCGAGGATCAAGTCTTAGAGGTGTGACTAAAGGGTAATACAGAGATGATTGATGGTTCTGACAATAAAATTACATTGCAGAAAACCTATTGTGTAAAAGACAGAAAGATCTAATTATTTACATTACACGACTTTATGATTTTAAAGCATGCATTGTACAAAGCTGCTAGCAGGGTGGGCTGGTGCAAAAACACAGTGCAGGACCCTGGTTTTGAGAGTTTTTTTTTATTTCACAATGGATGGGAGCAGCTAAAAGGAAATTTTAACACAAATACTACATTTGCAGCATAAAAGGTATTTTTTCGACAATAGAAACTACATGAGCAAATGTACTCAGTGACAGAATTAAAAACTATTTTCACTCAATTAATAAAAGTTGACTAAAGAAGTAGCTTGTGAAAAGAAAAAAACTGACTTAACATTAGATTATAATTAATATTACTACTACTAAAAATAAAAAATAAAAATACTTAAACCACCAGCAGAGTTTTGCACAGATTACCTATTCAGAAAATGTTCAGAACCTCCTTAAAGCCACCCCACCCACAGCTTATTTGCTGCAAGAAATTCTGACTATACCTCAATTAAGGTGTGTATGATTGGATAATCTGCCCTGCGATGGACTGGCGACCTGTCCAGGGTATACCCTGCCTCTGACAAAATGACTGCTGGAGATAGGCACAAGCACCCCTCGCAACCCCAGCAGGGATAAGCGTGTTACAAAATGAATTTGAATTTCCCTTATTCACTCTGGTCCCCTATGTTAAAACAGCCATTAAACTTGAGTGTTTTAAGGCCTGTCTTACTCTCTGGCCATGAATTATGTCCTCTGTGACCTTTATTCTGTGTTTTTCTTTTTTTTTTTGTTCTTACCTGTTCTTTTATTGTTTTTTACTTAAAAGAACATATAGAACTGTTTTTAGACAATTTGCATTACATTATTTACATTATTACATGTAATATCTCTGGCTGTTTGTAACGTTCCTGGCACTGGAGCTGCTATTGCAATCAGTGCACCTGTTTTCACTCCACCCCTCCTGCTTAAAGGCTCCGTCCCTCCAGCCTCCAGTGCCAGAATGTCTCTAGCCTAACGGTGAAAACTTCCAGCCTATTCTGTGAACCTCGACCTGTTTTTCCCCCTGTTTTTGAGCCAGCCTGACCCCTTTCTGGATTTTTGTCTGCCCGCTTGAGCCCTGCTCGTCAGCCTCAGTGATCTGGACTTTCTACCCGTGTTTCTGACCCAGCCTGCCTGTGAGTAATGGAGATTGCCTGCCCTTTTAACTGTCTTTGCTTTTTTGGATTTTGGAACTGGATCTGGACTTGGAACCTCCCCTGGATTCTCCCTTGGATACCTCAGCTGGATTAACGGACCCCCCCCCTCGTCAAGACCTGGGCCGAACCTGGACGAAGAACCTTGGATTACCCCAGCACGGACTCCGTCCTTTCCTGTAACCAGACTGTGCCCAACTGAGTCTTCCCGTGGTCAGGTTAGTGACCAAGCTCCTAACTCACACATCTGCCTGCCTCCACTGGTCACTAACCACCACTCTGTCTGTAGGAGCTGCCAGTCACTGAACCTGACCGCACTTCACGGGAGTCCGTGCCGCCCTCTAACTTTAATAAAGACCGTTAAAGTTTCACTGACCTGTTTGCAGGTTGTCTTTGGGTCCATACTAATCCATTACACTGTATATACCGACAGGTTTATTTGGTTGAGGGTTTTGTTTCTATCTAAGTTTGGAAATTGGTGTTTGGTTTGGTTGATGTGAACCAGTCTCTTGTTTCTGTTTTTGGTTGATTAATTTATTGTTTATTGTCAAATTTTCTGAAATAAATTCCTATTTATTCATTTACTTACTATTTATTGCCCAGTATTACGTATATGTTTGTTTTAGTGTTCAGCACTTTTGAAACATGAGTATATACATAAATAAAATGCTGTATAAAAATGCTATATAACGTATATAAGTAAATTAGATTGGATTGGGTCACAAGGCTATTAGATATTATCATGAGCTCGGCGCTGATGACTGACTTAAATACTCATTCCATTCACCTGTCTAACTGCCCATTTTGTCATTACTGCTCATCTAATCCACCTACTCCTGCCTCTATTTAAGCTGCTTGCTACCAGTCAGCAAGGGCATATAATTTCTCTTGTGCCCGTGGGGACAGTGGGCCAGTATTACCTTAGTGTTTCTGATTTTCTGGTCTGCCTCTTAACCGCTGAGCTGCCTGTTCTCATCTGATCTGTTGCCTGACCTGTCTTTGGACTCCTGGACCTCTGAGTCTGCCTGTTCTTGATCTGATCTGTTAACCTGACCTGACTCCTGTCAGAATCTGCCTGCTTAACGAACTTGGTGCTGTTTCCTTTCCGTTCGAAACCTCTTTGGACTTATTGTCTCCTGGTTCTGTATCCTGACCACATCCTCGACCCCGGCTTTGGCTTGGCCCTCTGGATTTTACTGGATCAACTGCCTGGATCTGGTCTCCTGCATGTTCTCCTCAATTAACCGGGGCTGCAGCATCTGGGACACTCTGGGCCGCTGCATCTTGTTGGCAGCTGAATACTACCTTGTTATCTGGGCACGGACTGAGCTGTTAAACCAGGTTAGTGACTCACTAGCATCATCATTCTCTATCAGATTATCGTGGTCCCTAACCTGTGTTCCTTTCCTGCAGAGGTTCCTGCCTTAGATGTACTAGATGCTGAAGCACAGATCTGTTTTTAAATAAACATTTTTGGGTAATCCCACTGTCTGTCTTGCCTTGAATACTGGGTTCTCTGTTCTGAGCCTTTACAGATATTTGTTATAACATCCTACCAATATAATTTATGACAAGTATATATATATATAAGTCTAGTGTGTTCTTACTGTTTTAAATGTTACTAAGAGTAATGCTAAATACCTTGATATTGTTGTTGCAGCTCAGACTTTTGTTGTTCCAATTCTTGGATCTTAGCTGACTGACCTAAAAGAGGAAAATAATACAACACTAAAAAGGAGGGCTTAGGCAATCAGAACCATTTACAAAGTAATTTGTATAGGCAAAATATGTATTTAGGTTTAATAAACAGATTAACTGATAATATAGCATATACAGTATTTTTAGATGTGTATTCTGCAAAGTGTATACCTTGGTACTGTTGCTCCAGTTCTCTTGTCTTTGTTGCTTGGGCTAAAACAGAACCAAGAGATTGAGTGATTTAGGCTTATCTTAGGTGGTCTGATATAGTCAAGCTTTGGTAGTAAAAATCCTTATACCTTCATTGTCCCTCTGTAAGAAGCCCATGCCCACTTTCAGTCCTGCAAGAGAGGCACTCATCTGTCTCAGAACAGCATGGATGTCATGTGAACAGATTGGTTGGTGGTCAGAGATATTCCCTGGTTCTTTTTCCATAGTGTTAGGTTCTCCTAAATTTTTAGCAGTCCCATCGTCAAACTGTCCTTGAAGCTGAGTTGTTGAAATAGAAGAGATTATGAAAAACAATAATAGAAACATCTTCTTCATTCTTCTGGATTCTGACCCTGCAGTCAAGCTATGAGGCTTTGGAGGTAACCCATGCTTTAAATAGACTCTTGTTATCTTATAATAGGTAATCATTACTAGGTTGTTTGATCTTGTTTTCCTTTCCACTATCAGACATTATGCTGTAGAAAGAAAATACATCTTTAGATTTGCAAATCAAAAACAGAGTTAATGACTGTCAAACCTTTATAAGGTAACAAACATAATCATATACAGATATATACTATTGAGCGGGTTCTTTTGAAAGCAGAATTTTACTGTATTCTCTTTCTAAAAAGAGTTTTACTACACTTACTTCACAAAGTTCAAGTTCTTTTTTTCTTGCCTTGCTTCTTTAGTTGATTTATCTTTTACAGTAATAGAATCAAAACTGTTGTAAAACATTTAATGGATTTATTCCAAAAACAGAGAATACATTCTGCACACTTCCACGCAGTGACAAGAACACAAACCAACACTAATCATATATATTCTTGAGACAAAGTGTTACCATGAGGCTAATTTGTATTTTTATGCTGAAATTTGCCACTAATTGTTAATGTTTTTTTTTTTTTTTGTGGTAGCACCTTAACAAATGCAATGCCACGCTACTGTACCGTGCATTCAAGGGCATTAAAAAATCAATGGTCAGTCAATGACCAAGTAAGCTACAATAAATACCTTGGTTCTCTTGCTGCAGTTTGGCCAATTCTGTAATTCAAGTTTCCACTTTGTTTCTCACATGGACATAGCTCAGATAAGTTTAAGTAGGGTATATGTCCACAAGACTGAAATATCCCCTAAAGGTTACAGAGATGCTGACATAAGGTTAAACCTAACAAATGTGACAGAATGTGCCCCATAAACAGAAAACCTCACCCTCTGTAATTACTGTGCATTTAATGACAGATCTCCTTAGGATCGTATGGCACTGCTAAGAGAGAAAAACATCTCCTTCGGGTGCCTTTTTGTTAACAACACACATCGCAAGGAATTGCAAAATCACACTGCAAAGTGCAGCATGCAAAAGTGAGGAGCTTCACACAACACTTCAACAAGAATCCAAAGGTGAGTTTGACCCCAAACTGCAGCATGGCGGTGAAGAATGCATACCTAAAAATGAGCCGCACATAAACTCAAAGTGCTAAGAAGCATGGGGTGGAGAATGGAAAAATTGATCCTGCTCAAAAATATGCTTTGTAAAAGCACATCCAGCTGGCTGCAAAGACCATGCTGTGAAAAATTATTTGTTTCAGGTGCCTTTTTGTTATCCACACACATTGCAAGGAATACTATCTTGACCTCGACGATGATGCAATGCCAGTGCCACACCGCAGTCTCAGGCTTGACTAGAACTTCCAAACAGACTGCTTCATGTGTTTTATCCCCCATCAACAGTCTTTATGACCCTATGGGTTTGCAGCACCAGTGACCATTAAAGGAAAAGCTATAATGAGAGACCTTGCAACTGAAAAGGGAGATTGGGACACACCTTTACTGTCATAATCCTGGCACTGATGGTTGTTTTTTTCCCTCTGCTCCTTCTCACCTGCCTAATTGGCCCTGCGGCTGACTACTGCCAATCTGATTCACCTGGTCCCTGCAGCTCTTTAGGCAGTTTGCTCTCCTGCTATAAGTGTCGGATTATTCAACCTGTCTTGCTGTGAGTTACTCTAGCTATCTATGTAAGTGTTCTGTTCTGTCAAATTCTTCTCAGTTTTTTGCACATATGTTTTTGGTTTTTGCCTTTTTCCCTGTCTGCTCTGCTCAGCTTGGTTTTTGATCTGACTACCTGGATTTTGCCAGTTTTCGAACTTGGACGGTTTTACTGACCTCGGCTCGGATTCTCCCTGGATACCACTTCGGCTCTCAGATCACCTGGTTTCTGACACTGTTCTGGATTGTTTTTCGGCTTTGCATTATCCCTCACGGACACTGTTGCTCGCTCTACTTCGGCTGGCGCCGGCTCCCCCACACTCAAAAGGAACATAGGAGCCCTGATTCATAAACACTTTCTATGTTAGAAAAGGTTACGGTAAACTAGTTCCATAGGTTGCTCTGTCTTGAATAGCAAAAACATTTGAGGTGTAAAGGTGACCTAGAATGATGGCTTATAGACATGTCTTTGCACAGTGATTGTGTTATTAAAATAAAACATTTTTATGCACTGAACATCTTTATGTCATTAATTATATGGCAAGTGCAATGTTCGAACATTGACCTTATTTGCATGATGTGCAGATATCCATAACAGTTAATAAACCTACAGACCCAATATAGAGTTGATTTGCAAGTTCATCATAAGTCTTATGTTCAATCAGAAAAGAAAAAAAACAGAAAAAAAACACCTTGGTATCAGAAAAGCTTTTTTATTTACCCAACAGCTTCTCTCAAACCCTAAATGTCAAAAAAGGTATAAAATTATGTAACTTTATTTTTTGTATTATATTATATCAATTACACATACAAACCTCTAAAACAGTTCTACCTAGTTTCATACATTTGTTATTAGTGTGTGATTATGTTTGAATAATGTGTGGTACTTGGTAATTTTTCTTTAGTTGTTTCTATCTAGTATTTAGAAACATTTTAATTAAAAACTACACATAAAACGTAAATGTTCAGACAGTTTTATAATAATTTTCTTCTGAAATCAGCAGTATATTAGAATAGATGTTTCTAAAGAACAAAATGAAAGTCCTTCATTGTACAAAACTGCATTCTATTTTCAATTTGAGACATCTAAAAACTATTAGGAGTTTTACAGTGAAAAAGATATTGTATCCCGTTGCGGTAATGAGATTTATTTATACATTTATGGCTTTCGCTGATAATGTATAATAATATAAACCTAGAAAGTTTTTTTTCTGTTCCCATAGTAAAAAGAAAAAAAAAAAACACTAAAGATGATGTGATGAATTTGGGTAATAATTTTTTTTGCTACTGTTAGGTTTATTCTTTATACATCATTTGCATTATTATTTTTTTAGACAGAGTAGAAGGCCTTCCTTCACCGGGTGGATGTCACTGTGTGTACGGAGGCCATCTAATCAGGACAGCCTTCGTGTCTTTAAAAATACACAGGATATGGGTACATCTTGGATGTGTGTATGTGTAATCATGGTGTAAAGGTGGCAAGATGCATAAAGGTCATGGCATGGATGGCGTGTCAGTTTCTGATATGTAGAGTTAAACATCCACCTGATGCAACACATGGATTCATGAGGTATAAGAAGGAGAAGATGACTTTGGGGCTCAATCTTTGGTCAATCTTTGCCGGACACACGCTGACGTTTTTTGAGCCCGCAGCTGTGCCAACTCCAAGCAATTTCTCTGTCCTGTATCGACCTGATCTGGAATAAACGCTGTTACTTTTTACTCCTGTTTTATGGTCCTTTTTCATATGGTTTTACCCAGTTTGAGTTAAGAGTAGTAAATAACTTGCCCCCAGGTAAAGAACCGGTAGGGAAGTTCCGAGGCGCAGCCACTTTCAGGGGGACATAACTTCCATATTAAACGCTACTAAGGTTTCAAAAGAACAAGATGATAGCCTTACATTATATAAAACATCATGTATTTGAATTCAAGAAATATCTTTTAGGGTTTTTACAGTAAAAAAAAAACTCCAGTGAAATTTTATCACAGTATAGAACAAGACTGTTCTTTAATCACATATTAAAAATCAAATGACCACTAAAGGTGTTATGATGATTTTGACTGTTGTAAATTCTTGTATTTTGCCACTGATTCAATAATACATCATCTCCGATCTCTAACAGCAATGTTACACCATTTGATAGGTTAACAGAATAAGAAGGCTGATTTTCAATTGCAATGAAAACAGAATCTCCATTCTTGACCAACACACCACCTGTACCATGTGACGCATGTCCACCTCCATATAAGTAGAACTCAAAGTGATAGGCTCCTCTCACAGGTGCAATGAAAAAACCTGTGAAACACAATATTTCTATTATGATTTCGACTGTAAATGTGTTTACATAAAGAAACATGAACCAGGTTTATGTAAGGGTTTGTTAAGAGAACGTTGGAGTACCTGTGTTTGGGTTGTAGGCATTGCCAATATTTGCAACAACATTCCTAAAGACTAGAGGTCTCTGTGCTTTAAATGGTCCAATAGTTCCTGAACCTGAGGCCAGCAGGGAAGCAGAAAAAGCCACTTGTTTCTCTGTCAGAAATTGATTTAAATCAAAAAGATATCTTTAGAAACAATCATACATTTAGACACTTTTGGACAAATTGTCTTTGTTGCAGATAAAATAATGTTTTACAAGAAAACCAACCAAGTACCATCTGGATAAAAATATATGTTCAAATAACTTTATGGACAAGGTGTTGAAGCATGTTGAAGGCCATTATGAAATATACATATATTTTAAGATTATTTTTTCCAAACCTTTTCCTTCCTTCCTTAGCCACTCCAGTTGGACCTCAGTGTTGTTTTCCCTGGCTTTAACTGAGATGAGTTCTTCTGCCTGAGCTGTAAATTTATCTAAAAAAGAAATAGTAGCATATAATCATCAAGAATACAAGCTCATAAATACTGGCCTCTTGCCATTGATATTTTAAAAACTGTTAAATCAGTCAGGTTTGCCCTCAATATAGACTGCATATAAGCAACACTATTTAAAAAAAATCTCAGTAAACTGACTGTTTATCTATTATTATCTATTTTGTAAAACCATCACTTAAGATTATTTACTCTTAGAATAATGTAATAAATATGTCATGATCGGTGTTTGTGTGGAGGACCCAAAGACCAGTAGGCAGAGGTGAATAAAGCCTGTTTATTCTGGTTCACAGAGAGAGAGCTGACGAGGAAATTGGCAACAGGTGCTTAGCAGGACAGAGAAACAGAGCAAGGGAGGACACAAGAGGGCAGCAGAGGGCAACAAATGGATAATTAAGGAAAACAGGAACAATCAGGCCAGGACCTTGACAGTACCCCCCACTTAAGGGCGGATCCCAGACGCCCTAAAATGTCCAGAAAATCAAAACA